TCACCTGCTTTTAGTTGAAAAGCATCCAACAAACTCTTTTTTAAAAAAAGGTTTTATTTATTTTTAGAGAGAGGGGAAGGGAGGGAGAAAGAGGAGGAAACTTTGATGTTGAAACATCAACTGGTTGCCTTTCACACCCCCGCAACTGGGGACCTGCCCGCAACCCAAGCATATGCCCTGACTGGGAATCGAACCAGCAACCTTTTGATTTGCAGCAGGAAGCCCAACCAACTGAGCCACACCAGTCAGGGCTTCAACAAACTTTTTTTCAGAAATAAGACGGAGCATCAGGACTGGCTTTCCTCTCAGGGTGCTCCCCTCACAGTCTGTCACTGTCTCACTGTCTTCAGTGGCAGTCCAAGCCCAGGGGCGTCCTGTGCACTGTGGGATGGGGGCACGGGGGACCAGAGGAGGGAGGAGTGGTTGGCAAGGGGAAGGAAGGGGCAGCAACACCTCCCTGTGCGAAGAGGGAGGTGGGACATATATGTACACCTGCACACACGCAGACACAGGTGTAAATGCAGGGAGGCCACGACACAGTAGGTGCTGTGGAGAGAACTCTTGTGGAAGAGGGTACTAAAAAGCAGGTTTGGGGAGACAAGATGGAGAGCCAAAAAGAGACCTCCCAGAGAAGAATGCGGGGAGGGTTAGAAGAGGGAGCTCTCAGGAGCTCTCAGGATAGGGAGATAAGTTGAGGGTTATGAAGGTTGAGGGCCGGGGGAGCAGAGGTGAGGATTGGGCACATCCTGCAGGAGATGAAAGGCTTTGCCCGTCAAAGTCGGTAGAAGAGGGAAGAGGGAACTGCATTGTGCCTGGAGGTGGGCAGTGGACTTTGGGTAGGGAGGCCCCAGAGCAGCTGACTGTGGGGGGAGTGGTGATTTAGGCAGAGGGAAGCCAGGAAGCTGGGAAGCCTAAAGGGAAGCAGCAAAATCACCAGGTCCCGAGAACTCCAGAACTCAAGTTTTCATGCTTGCAGGGGGCAGGGGTGGGCTGGAAAAAGCTGTTAGAAGGAGTTTGGTACAAACGGTTGCCTTTTCAGGTCCTTGAGCTATTCAGGAGAATTACACTATGATGCTCCACTAGCCTGGAGGGCTCCCTCTCCAGCCCCACCCCCCGGCATTCTAACACAAGGCAGAGCTCAGGGAGGAGGGCGAGCTGGGCTGGGGAACTGGGGCCTCTTTTGTCATCCTCCTGCCACATCCCTGCCCCTTTGGAGAGTGAGGAGACAGCTCTAGTTCTCATCTAGGATGAGGAGTTTAAGAAGGCTTTCAGCAGGAGTGTCCAGCCTTTTGGCATCTCTGTGCCACACTGGAAGAAGAGTTGTCTTGGGCCCTACATTAAATACATTGCAACAGGTAATCACAAAAAAATCTTGTAATGTTTTAAGTAAATTTATGATCTTGTGTTGGGCCTCATTCATAGCCATCCTGGGCTGCTTGCGGCCCTCGGGCCGCAGGTTGGACACCCCTGCAAGTCAGGGCTGCCTTGGTGGGGGGTAACCTTTAGGTTGCCCCTTAACATCACATACTCCAAAGTGAACCTGTAAGGGCAGGGCCAATATCACGCCCATCTCTGTACCCGTGGCCTAGCCCAGAGAAGTCCAGTCTGTATTAACTCAAAAACCAAACTTTTCACGACTGCATATAACACCCTCACAATCAGTACCTAACCTACCACACTGGCCACACTCTTTTTTATTCTTACTGTTGGGGCAGGCATAGTGGCTTTGGCTTAAGTTTAAACTTTTAAAAATCTTTTAAAAAAAATTATAGTTGACATTCAATGTTATATTAGTTTCAGGTGTACAGCATAGTAGTTAGACATTTAGATAACTTTAGAAGGGATTCCCCAGCTCTGGCTGGTGTGGCTTGATTGGTTGGAGCATCATCCTGTAAACCGAAAGGGTGTGAGTTCAATTCCTGGTCCCAGCACATGTCTGAGTTGTGGGTCTGGTTGCCTGTCTGGGTGCGTGGGAGAGGCAACTGATCAATGTCTCTCTCTCTCGTTGATGTTTCTCTCCCTTTCTACCTTCCCCTCTCTCTAAAATCAACAAGAATGTCCTTGGGTGAGGATTTTTTTAAAAAAGTGATTCCCCCAGATAAACCTTGTACCCGCCTGACACCACGCATAGTCATTGTGATGTCAGTGACTATGTACCCTGTCTGTACGTGACTTCTCATGACTGTTTTGTAACCACTAATTTGTACTTCTTAGTCCCTTCAGCTTTTCCACCCAGCCCCCAACCCCAGTCCCATCTGGCAACTGTTCGTTTGTTCTCTGTATCTGTGAGTTTATTTCTGTTTTATTTGTTCATTTATTTTGTTTTTAGATTAAACATAAAAGTGAAATCATATGGTGTTGTCTTTCACAGTCTGACTTACTTCCCTTGGCATAGTTCCCTCCAGGTCCCTCCACGTTGGCAGGAGTGGTAAGAGCTCATTCCTTTTTATGGCCAGGCAATACTTCACTGGACCTATGTGCGGCTTCTTCATCCGTTCTCCTTCCCATTGGAGCATGTAATCCATTTACAGTTAAAGTAATTATCGATAGGTATGCACTTACTGCCACTTTATTCGTTGTTTCCTGATTGTTTTTGTAATCCTTCTCTGTTCCTTTCTTATGTTCTTACCCATTGATGACTTTCTGTGGTGGTGTGTTTGGATTCCTTTCTTTTTATTTCTTGCAAATCTCTTGTAGATTTTTTTGTTTGTGGTTGCTGTGTGCTTTTTATATATACACCAGGCTATATTTATAGTAGTATATTTTAAGATGATGGTCACTTAAGTTTGAATACTTTCTAAAATCACTGCCATTTTTACTCAAGCCCTCCATGTTTATATTTTTGTCATCATTTTTTAAAAAATTTGCTTTTGTGTGTTTGCACGTATTCCTTAATTTACATTTGCAATTACATGTGATCTTCCAGCTTTTGCTTTTTAACCTTTGTACTCGCTTTAGTGTTGGTTGATCCACTGCTTTTATTATATGTTTGCCTTTGTCAGTGAGAATTCTCATTTTTGTAAAAAAAGTATTTTTAGTGATATTTTTTAATATTACTTCTGTTCGAGCGCTGGCTGGCATAGCTCAGTGGATTGAGTGCAGGCTGCGAACCAAAGTGTCGCAGGTTCGATTCCCAGCCAGGGTACATGCCTGGGTTGCAGGCCATAAGCCCCAGCAACCGCACATTGATGTTTCTCTCTCTCTCTATCTCCCTCCCTTCCCTCTCTAAAAATAAATAAAATCTTAAAAAAATAAAAAATAAATAAAATAAATAAAAAATATTACTTCTGTTCTATTCATTCATTTTTAACAATTTCATTTATTTATTTTTAGAGAGAGGGGAAAGGAAAGAGAAAGAGAGGGAGAGAAACATCCACGTGTGGTTGCCTCTCATATGCCCCCAACTGGGGACCTGGCCCGAAATTCAGGCAGGTGCCCTGACTGGGAATCAAACCAGTGACCCTTTGGTTTGCAGGCCGGTGCTCAATCCACTGAGCCACACCAGTCAGGGACCTTATTTCTTTTTTTATTCTTTTTCCTTTTTGCTGTTCTGATTGGGTGTTTTCAGCTATACTGTCTTCCAAATTGCTGATTCGTCCTCTGCGTCATCTGATCTGATGTTAATTCTATGTAATGTAGTCTTCATTTCAGTTGTTATATTCTTCATTTGTGAGTGGCTCTTTTATATGTTTTTTTATCTCCTTTTTACGTATACTATCTTTGTTGAAGTTCTCACTGAGATAATCTGTTCTTCACCTAAGTTCATCAGGTATCCTTGTAAGCAGGGTTTTGAACTCTGCATGTGGTAGCTTGCCTTTTACGAGGACCCCTGGGTCTATAGCAGCCCTCCATTTCCCCAGGACTGACCCCTGCTGATTTTCACAGCCAACTGTGCTGAGGACTCCTCTTTCCAGCACTGGTGATCTGGGCTGGAAAGTCTGGAGTGGTGCTCGAACCCCTTGCTCCTCAGTGTGGGGACCTCCACAACAGGCTATCCCTACCAGTGTTTAACAGCCTCACATGGGTGTGGGACCTTGTCTCCACCCTTTCTGCTAGTCTCCAAGCAGGTTCTTCTTCTTTATGTTTTTAGTTACAGGAGTTCTGTTCAGCTAGTCTCCAGGTGATTCAGGGGGTTGTTCCATAGTTTAGTCGTAATGTATGTGGCCATGGAAGGAGGTGAGCACAGCATTTACCTCCTCCACTATCCTGACCAGAAGTCTGGCTTAACTTTCAAGGGACTGCATTTCTTCTGACTAAGCAATTCTAATTCTAGGAATGTGTCCTTTTGAAATACACAAAAGCACAAAAATAAATGTACAAGAATGTGGGTTACAGTATAGTTTGTCACAAAAATTTGATGCAAAATTGGGGGAAATCTAAGTGTTCATCAATAAGGGAAGGTGAAAGAAATTGGATTTAACCATATTAAGGAATACTATGCAGCTTTTAAAAAGAATGAGTTAGATTTAAGTAAATCGACATGAAAGGATGTCCTTGATATATCAAATATTAAGGACAGTTGGCTGGGCAACATCCCATAAAGCAAAAGGTCTCCAATTTGATTCCTGACCAGGGCACATGCCTGGGTTGCAAAGTTTGGTCCCCAACTGGGGTGTGTACGAGAGGCAGCCAATTAATGTTTCTCTCTCACATCGATGTTTCTTTCCCTCTCTTTCTCCCTCCCTTCCCTCTCTCTCTAAAAATAAATTAAATCTTTAAAAAAAGAAATGAAGTTGAAACAATATGGTATTGTGTACATGTGTATTTGTAGATTCACTGAAGAATAGTATAGAAGTGTTTACACCAAGATGTAGAGTCATCACATCTAGAGAACGAATTGATAGGTATGAATTGATAGCATTGTGGAGATAAATTTCACTGTTTAAACTCATATTTTTCTGTATTCTCTACAGAATTACTTTGTAATTAAAAATAAGTAAATAATAAATTCTGGGGCAGTTAGCTATTTTTGGCAATGGCACCAGTACTTTTCAGTGGGAAATAGACCCCCAAAGGGGAGCAGCTTAGAAAGGTAAGAGGCCCTTAGAGCCAGGAGATAGCAGCGCAGGGCCAGCATCAAAGTTTTAAGGTTTCAGGTTAGCTCTGAGAGTGGTCAGAAGGGTGGGTATTAAGGAAGAGTGCAGATGTCAGGCTAGGGCAAGGCCCGCATTGGCTGAAAAGAGGCCGTGAAGCTGGTTTCTTGAGCCTTTCCACCACCTGTCAGTGCTCTCTCCCTCCTCTTAACTACCCCGCTTTCGTAGCCCTCTCCTCACCCCCAAACCTGGGCCTACTCTGTAGGCATGTCATGTGATCTTGTCTCTCTTCCGCTGCATCTCTCACTTCCTGTGAGTTACTCTGAACTGACTGCCCCTGAGAGAGGCCGTGCTGCTTTGGGGTGGGTGAGGAATCACACCAGGGCACCTTGGTTGGGCATATATCATAAGATTGGGCTGGAGAGCTGTTGGGTGATGTAATAGACTGTGTGAGTGATACTGGGATAAATGGCCTGCCTGATAAACGATTGGATGTTTAATGCAACCAAGAGTAGGGCTAGGGTTAGAGTTAGGAACGGTGGCTCCCAATGGCTTAGCTGACTTATTGGCATGACATTCAAGGCCTTTTCAATGGGGCCCCGCACCCCTGTTGTATGGGGCTGACGTACCCAGCAGGTACAGTGGGTACAGTGCCCAGGGCCCACAAAAATGTTTTAGTTTATTTAAAGTAAGAAGAAATAAGATGAATTCCATCAGCTTGGATTATAGTCATCTTTATACCAATGCAACTATACAACATAATTTAAAAAATATTTTATGAAGGCACAAGTGCCCCTGAAGGTCATACTGTGGTCTTCGTCTTCCAGCTGCTACACCCACTGCTCCCTCACCCTGATGTCCTCTTGGCTTCCCAGACCCACTTGTGCCTCCGTCCTTCTGTGACTCTTCTTGTGCCAGATGGTTTCTCGTATGAGGTCTTTGCTCATTGAATCCTTCCCACCTGAGGACTCATCCTTTGAGGTCTCGAGTCAAATGTCACCATCTTTGTAAGGCCTTCCCTGATTCCCCGAAGTGGGAGGAATTGTTCTAAGTCAGCTAGCATATCTCTAAACACTCCACCACTTGCTTACATCTCTGCTTCCCCAGCTCAAGTGTGAGTTCCACAGGGGAAGAGCCCCATTCTACAACTCCTCAGGTCTACATGGCCTTGACACCCAGTATGGAGGCTCAGCTGGGGGCCAGGGGTTGTTTGGGAACAAGAGCCAGTGGCTGTGACAGAACTTTTCAGATGTGTGTAGTTCTTCGCAGCCTGAATCAATTAGTTCTCCAAAAGGATCAGCGAAAGAACAATAAAGGGTGAAGAAGAATCCAATGCCAATGTCATAAAACCTTTATTTCCCTGGGGATCTCACGTCCAACTCTCTTCTCTTTCAGAAGACCTTTCCCCTTTTCCACTCCAGGCCACATCCTGGGAGAGGCTATGCCTTTCTCCTTTGGGTGGGCTACTCCAAAGTGTTTCCTCTGCAGGGCTCTTCAGGGAGCTTAGGAGACTTGCAGTAATGAGTTGCTGGGAAGGAGAGGCAGCTGTGGTCCCATGGCGCCCTCACGTGGCGATGCCTGAGGTGACAGCCTGCTACTGAAAGTCAGACCTGGAAGAACTTGCGTCTGTGTGTGTGGAGTCCGAGTTGCTGGGAAAAGAGCTGACAGGCATTGTCAGGAGTGGTCCACGTGGGGACTTCATGTGAGCACAGCAGACAAGGCCAGTAACGCAATCACGTGTGGAGTATACACTGTCCCTGATTCCTCAGGCTCCCAAGGCTCTCATGGGTCTTATCTGGGCCCTCCCTCAGGGCTGCCAATGCCTTGCTGTGTGGCCTTGGGCAAATTACTTCACTTATTTGCCCTCGGTTTTATAAAAGGAAAGTGATAAGCCTGAGCTAAAATGACAGTTTTCAAACTGTCTTAGAGTATTTTAGAAGTTCAGGGGCTGATGGGCACTGCCCTCGTCTACCCTCAGTTTCACCCAGGGCTGCTTTGCCCTTCGTCACATTACACATGGGGCAGTACAAAAAGGGTTCGGGAACTTAAACCTGAGAATCACTGGCTCCATGAGCGTTATGGCTCCCTCCCGGCTACCCGGCTCCACTGTTCTAAGCTTTATGGAGACCAGCTAGCCAGACAGGACCAGAAAGGAGAGAAGAGAGAATGGGCAGGCTGATGGCTAGTTGTTTAGTGTTCTTGTGGTGTGGTGGAAGGCGCCCTGGTTCTGTGTTCAATCCCAGTCTTGGCTCCAGCCATCCACTAGCTGCGAGGCTACCTCCTTTACCCCTCTCTGCCTCAGCTTCCTTCTCTGTAAAGTGAGCATGCAGGCTCCTGTTCTGCCCTTCTCACAGAGTTATTGTCAGAGGAAGTAAGATAAAGGATTCCTGTCAGGGCGCTTTCCGTAAACGGCTCTACAGACTTGGGGTATGATAAGCAAAGGAGACGCTCATAGACCCCTAACAGAGGAGTATACGGTGTTACTGGGTTCTGTGGGTGCGCTACGTGACCAGCGGTGCAGGACGTGGCTGCAGGAGTCCTTCTCTTGGATTCGGCACTGCTGCCTCGGGCCCTGTCCCAGGAGCTCTCTCTGCTTGGGAGTCTGTATCTAGGACAGAGGGAAAGCTCTGGGCCATGATGACGTGTTCTCACGGTCTCTTCATCAGCATAAAGAAAATGGGCCCCACGTCACTGCAAGGAGTAGGAGGTCCTGCCTTGACATCCAAAATTAGGTTTAGAACTCCATCTTTAAGGCCTACAGAGAAGCTGATGAATGGGTTCCCAAGTATCAGGGTCCCCAAAACCCTGTGTCCTGAGAGGCTCGTGGGAACTCCCATCAGGGTGATCTGCGGCCTAGATGAAGAGCCAGTGCTGGCGGGGGTCGCTGGGATCGCAGGAGGCCACGACAGGCTTCTTGTCCTTGGCCGACAGGCAGGTACCAGATCCTGAATTCCTGATGAGCTGGTCCTAGAAGATGACACAGCCAACGGTCAGCCCGGCCTTGGCCCTGTGATGGTGCTACTAGATCAAACCTCTAGTAACTCTGACAGGATGCGTTCCTGAGTTTGCACTGTGTCTGGTGCCCGCTGCCCACCCCCAGCTTCAGCCTGAATGGCTGGGATAGAGGAGGGACCTCGAGCTAACTGGAAAATGCTGTCAGGGCTTGCCTCCTCCCCGTGGCCAGTCTTAAAGACCGGGCCACTGCTGCCTACCTCCCCTTTCTGCCTCATACCCTATGTGGACTCCTCCCTTCCCTGTGGCCCCAAGGTTAGGCTCCTCTTCCCCTGAGCCAGGGACTGGTGACTGGGGTAGAGGAGGGTGTAAGGGTTCATGGGGGGCTAGTTTGGGCTTAGCACTGTAGAAATTACATGATAAATCCTGAAGCAGTGTGCTGTAATGGAAAGAATCTGACTTTCATAAGACTTTCAAGTCTGACTTATCCAGGTTTGAATCTCAGGCCTGCCATTTATTAGGTATGGGTCTTGGGTCAGTCACAAACGTGCTGAGCTTCAGTTGGCTTGTCTGTGGAAATGGGACTCTGCCTACTTGGGAAGAGCCCCTGAGATACCATAAACCAATGCGCGTGAGTGCACAGCTTTGTGCCTGGCACACACAGGCCAGGCAGGAGCCATGAGCGACTCTTCATTTTTTGTCACTTAGGTTCAGTCTCAAAATATTTGAGCTACGACACAGCTGGCCACAGACCATAACACACGACCCTATCTTTATGTCAGCCAGAACCAGCCATCACCAAATATTTCTTAAGCCCCGGAAACCCTGCCTGTGACCAAGCCCACACTCTCCATGCTTTCTACATCATGATCCAACACATGGTATCTCAGGCATAAGATGTAAAAAATAAGGAGGGGGGCAGCTGTGACCTTAGGTTCTTGATACTTGAGCTTTTGGGGCTGACTTACCTGGGTCAATTCCCATTCCTCATCCTTAGGGACTTGGCTGTTTTTGCCAGTGAACTGACAGCTCCGAAGGCCCAGAGTGCCAGCACTGGCGTGTAGACACAGCTGCTTTGCAATGTTGTGGCGAAGGTCCCTCTGGGTTGTGTACTCAAAGTACTAGAAGTCAAGGTAAGAGGAGGTCTGAGGGACAGGCAGCGTTTGCCTAGCACCTTCTGAAGCCGTCTGCTCTGAGATGTCAACCACAGAGCCTCCCAGGGAGGCAACTGAGCGGGTGACTGGACATTAGTAATTCATGGGTCACCTTTGGGATTTTTTAAAACTGTATCTGGATTATACTAGAATGCTAGTTACTTACTATGTTTTATTTAGTCAAAATTTTAACTTAGCTTCATTTTCAGCATTATTTGAGAAGTCATGTGTTTGATATGCTAGTTCTTTTTTTGTTAATAGATTACTAGTAAAAGGAAAAGGTTCACCAATGCACCACCTGAAATCATTGTGCAGGCTGGTAGTGCAGGGAATTGCTTTAGAATCACACACACACACACACACACACACACACACAGCGCTTCAGTTGTGATTCAAGTGCTTCTTCCTTACCAAGTGCTGAGCATTCAGGGCAGACTGAGGGACTGGGGTTGGGGAAGTTACTAATTACTCCTCAGGAAGAGCTGGGCATTGTAGGGCATGGAGGAGATTTTCAGGATACCAGATGACTGAGACGTCAGGAGGTGGCTGTTTGGGGGTCATTTTTGGGTGATAGGATGAGTGGTATTTTCTGGGCAGAGGAGGCACTGAAGATAGAAGTTGTGTATATGTGAGGGAAAGTGCTCAAAAGTTTACCACACTCACCCTAACATCACTTAGGGTACGGCACCCTCCAGCAAGCCTCTCTGATGGACAGTTCTCCCTTCGGCCCCTCTCCAGCACCCGGCACTGATGCCCAGGGCCCTCTGGATGTCCCTGATTCAGAACTCACATCTTGTCTCTCTGTGTCATGTACTGTCCCTCATACTGGGAGTTTTCTAAGGGCAGGGATGGCATCTCCTCCTCTCCCTGGATCTCCCCCACCCTAGACCTTAGGAAAGGACTATTTTCAGTGGAGAGAGGGGGCCTGTTAAGGGAGGAGATGCCCAGATAGGCTTCTCTTGGGCCTGCCCCAGGAGGCTGGGCTGCATACCTGGTTGCCGCCGAGGCCGTGGCAGGGGTACATGATGAGGGGCTTCCCCCCACGGTTGTTCTCGCCCACGTCCAGGCACTGATCAATGCCAAGGTTCTTTATCTGCAGAACAGTGAGCAGAGAGGTAAGCCAGGAGAGCACAGTCAGGAGTTTTACAGTTCATGGTATCAGGCCCAGACTGGAATAAATCTGCATGCCTATATTTCTCCTCTGATTCTTGTCCTCATTAACCCAGATGCCTGGAGTTAGTAGTGAAGTGAAATGCAGAGCCCAGAGGCTGGGCCAGGGCTAGCTGGGAACCCCCCAGGCTGCCAGGTCCCTGAGAGAAGCCCTCAGTATGTGGGAATTTCCTTATGAGTGCGGAATCTCAACGTGTGATTCCCCAGACCATCAGCCCCAGACCTGGGAACTTACTAGAAATGCAAATGGCCAGGCTCCAACCCAGTCCCAGTGACTCAGCAGCCTGTGGTTGGACACGCCTTCCTGATGATTCTAATGCAGGTGGGTGAGAACCACTGCTTCTGGGTTTTCTCTTACAAGGATTTTAGCTATCTCTAGAAGCCCCAGAGTCCTCCTTCTGGATAAAGGAGTGTGGAGAGTGTAATTAAATTCTTGTTTGTGATCTCTGTGGGTTAAGTGTTCCTGAGCTTCTCCAGGGGATTTTGTGAGGATGGTTCTTAAAACTTACAGCTCCGTAGAAGGTGGGCTTCAGGTCAGGAACAAACATCTCTGGGTAGATATTGTGCAGGTACCAGGAAAAGTTGCGACAGTGTAGTTGTTCCCTCAGCTGCAGTCGTTCAGAAATGTCACCGAAGGATTTCTGTCAACAAAGCCAGCCCTGTAAAGGTCGGTTCCACTAGCCTTGACCTTCTCATCTGGGTGGAAGCAGCTGAGTTCCCGGGGCCACTGTCTCCCAGAATGGGTCTTCCTGCTCAGGACCTGTGGGAGCCACTGACCCAGCCTCACATCTAATCCCAAACCCCATCTTGCCTTCGGGGACCCCCACCCCTGCACGGCCCCTTGCTCCCTCTTCCCCTGTCACTCCCCGGTTTCCTCCCAGGCCCAGTCTGAGCCTCTCAGAGTAAAGCCAGTCCTCCTGGAAGAGGTTCTTTCTCCGAGTCTTCTTGCCCTTCCCTCCTAAAAGACACTGGGGCTCTCCAGGCAGGGACAACAAAGGCTCCTCCCCTCTTTCTCTAGCTTCCCTGGGCTCTAGCTCATGGGTCTATGGCTTGTAAAGGGAAGCGCCGGGGTAGCGATGGGGGCACCTCTACCGGTCAGCCCTTGACCAGGGTCTGGGGTGCTGCACTTCTCTCCATCCAGACACCTCCTGAGCACCATTTTCCATTTCCTCTCACCTCTTGGGCCATCTTTGCTGCCTGTATATTTCTCCGGTAGAAAATCTCCTTGTAGTTATCCATCCAGACCTCAGCCAGGCGCACTTGGTTGCGAGCAATGACATTGGTGCCCTTGGGAAAGGTGTGGGGGCTTTTGGTGCGGAACACATGGCCGACCACAGAGCAGGGGATGATCTCCAGCTGGCCCCCACACTGCCACACCTGCCAGGAGAGGAAACAGAATGGGGCCATCAGGGGGCTGGTGGCAATAATCTCCCCGCAAGTAGCTCTGCTCTATTCCCAGAGACCCAGACTCCAAGAACTCAGGGACATGCTGCTTTCTCTCCTGGAAGAAAGGACAGTGACCAGGCTTCTCCCTGGGCCACGACGGCGCACTCCTGAGCTCTCTACTGCTTCACTCTGATTTAAGCAAACAGAAATTTGCAGGGCCCACAGGGTTACCAGGGCCCACTTTAGAGAAAAGACAGTTTGGCTAACTTTGTGTCTGTATACCTACTGTGAGCTCTGGTCACTGGGCTTTTTGACCTGAAAATGTGAGTTTATCAGCTCCCCCAGGTGTTACTGGAAACTTGAGCATCAGTGCATTAATCATAGCAAGGACAGTCACCTGCCAGGTGGCCTGTGGTCACTACCTGTAGCACACTAGCTTCCCAGGAGAGACACTGAACGGAGGTCAGAGGCTCACAGCTGAGCCTCGAACAAGAACCCTCGGAGTTATTGTGACTGGAGACCTTCCTGTATGAGCTCTCCCACCTGTGTCTTCTCTTTTTAGGTTTTACATTAGGAGGTATGTTGTTCATTTTAGTATAGTAGCAACAGAAATACATTACCATAGTAACAGCAAATATTAAAGATGCGCTTAGTATGTGCCAGGCACTGTGAGAGGTGACTTCATAAATGAGCTCATTTACTTACTGATTATCCCTCCACTGGCCTGGGAACCAGTGCAGATTTCACGAGAGGCAATCCTTTCTTCCTAACCTAACCCTGACTTGCCTTATTCCTGGAACCTCTTAGACTTCTGGGGTCCACCCGAATCCAGGCCACCACCTTCTCGTTCAGTACAAGCTTTCTGAGCTCAGGATAGGGAAGCTCTAGAGTCTACCACAGCTCATGTCCTCTGACCTGGAAAGGGGAACCTGATTTTTCTACAGAAAGGGTAGTGACTGCTTACTCATCTGTTCCAGGGTCCTCTACCATTAAGCCCTTGATCTGGCCCTAATCCTTTTCGACAGACACATGAGAGGTGTCCCCAGCCCCCAGACGTCCAGTTTCCATCACCACTACTATCCCTTCTCTCTGAGGTAACCTGTTTCCCACCATCCACCCTGACCCCCAAAGCCCTAAGCTGGGGACCACGGGGAGGGAGCGGAGGAAAGCGCAGTCACAGCAGGAAACAGCCACCTTGCAAGCTCAGTTCCAGATGTGGCATCTCTGCTGCCTGAGAGGTGCTCAGGCTGTCCCCGGGAGTGTTGCGGTTCCCCCCTCGAAGCCCTCTTCACTCTCACCCGGAAGGACATTTCCACGTTCTCCCCTCCCCAGATCTCCATCTGATTATCATAGGTACCGATGTGCTCAAAGTAGGACTTGGAGATGGAGAAGAGGCCACCAGCAAACGTCGGGGACCTGGAGAGACAGAGGGAGAAGCATGTGCATCTTCTGGGGGAGGAGGTGGGGAGCCTGGCACCGACTCGCCGCTGACGCCCCTAGCCTACCCCAGCCCCTTTCCCGGATGTGCAGCCCCTCTTCCACAAACCTGTTCATTTAGCAAATGTTTGGTGAGCTTTTATTCCATCTTCTTTACCTTCTAGGAATCACGTCAAGGAGAGTTGTAATTTTCATTACTCTCCTCTAAAAGGTACCCATTCATTTGTCCAACCAAGGATGCATTAACTACCAGCCATCAGGGCTTGTGCTAGGCACACAGACCTAAGAAAGACAGGCCCCATTGTCTGGGAGCTCAGTCTATTGCCAGAGGGTGAAGCTACATCATTTGTTTGCCTTTTGGCAGCAAAGTTCCTAGGGCATAGTAGACATGGTTATTAGAAACTATGTGAAATTGTTTTTGGAAATAGGATTCAACCCATGAATGAATGAAGATTATGAGCTGGACTGTTCCCATTCTCTTTCGGGGTCCCTGGCCCTTTGGGGGAACCTGGAAGCCGTGGTTTTATTAGGAGTCCAGCCCTGGTGCGTAACACTGAATGAGCTTTGGGGAAAATCTACCAGCTGCTTTGAACAGAAGAAACTCCTGGAAACAGAATAGGAAATGAGATGACAACAAGCTCAAATTGCACTAAAAGGAGCATTCGGAGGTTACAAAAAGATTCTGGCTTTCAGACAAAAGCAGGGAGGCACAGACCCATATGAAGATAAATTGACAAAAACATCTCATTACTAGAATTTAGATTCCGTGTTGCCCATGGGTGGGGCGGGAGCTGCTTGGGGCAAGGGCTGAGGTGTGGGTAGGGCTGGGGGAGCCTGGGGCCCTCCATCAGGTACTGAATCAGCAGCTGTGTCCGAGCAGGCTTGCTTGGATGGGGCTTTGCTGCCCCCTTCTGTTGCTTCTTTGTGTAATACAAATAGGCAGGAAGATAGCATCTCCGAAAGCCCAGAACCGAACACGGTGCGTTACACACCACAGGGCTCCATCAGTGTTATGGGACTGATCTGTTGGAGTGACTACACAGGAGCCCGGCCTTGCTGTTAACCTTGTGGCTGCCCTTGTGCCCTGAAGTTGGCTCCTGCAGCTGCTTTCTGGAGGAAATTTTAATTGGGAAACCCTTGTGCTCACGCAGGCCTTCTGTCCCTGGTTCTGACCCAGAGGTTCCACACCAGCCCAAGGAGGGCCCAGGAAGGGGCTCAGAGAGTCCTGGGCTTCCAGATGAGCACTTTGGACCTAACTGACTTCTTCCTGAGGGTCTCCCAGACTTGGGCCTGCCCCTTGGCTTTGAGAGGTCTCTCTGATCCAGAAGGCACTGACAAATTCCCTCTGAGGACACAGGGAACCTCACTGCAGACCTACAACCAACAGACAACACCCTGTAATTTCTGGCCTACTTCTTAGGATCCTCTGGGTCCTTGACCCCACCTCCCAGCCTCCTTAGCTTTCAGAGTGGAGGATAGGAGGGTACTGCCTGCAGGCCTGCTGGGGGGTTCCTGTGCACAGTGCTGAGGGCAAGCCGTGCGTGCCACCAGGGAGCAAATTCATTCCTCAAACACTGGGGCTTTATCTCCCAGTTGTATGGTCCTTGGACACTGGAGTCTGGGACATCAGTGATGGGTGGTGGCCAGGTGCCCTGTCCCTGATAGTGCCGCTGTGTGCCTGGCTCCCAGCTTGGGCGACGGGGGCTTTGTTGCCATACACAGCAACAAAAGACATCTGTGAAACAGGCAGATGGCCAACAGTTCTCATTTCTTTTCTCCCTCCTGCCTTCTCATTTCCCTTCTCCCCTTTCTGTTGCTTCTCCTCCTCCTTGTGGAGACGGCGCTGTGGGCTGTTCAGAATTCATGGGATTACTTCTGCAGCACCCACCCGAGACCTCTCCATTGGATTCTGGGCCGTATTTTCTTAGGATCTCGGCATGTAGAAGGGGAAGAACTCCCAAGCTCTTTCTTTCGGGCCTTCCCTCTTATCTCTGCTCACTGTATCCCCTACCTCTGCTTCCCTCCACCCCAGCTATCGATTCATTTGACCCCGAGGTTTCCTGGCCAGTATAGGGAAACAGTGGTAGATAATAACAGGATACTCTAAAAGTCACTCCCCAACTCAGTTTGTAGAGACATTTGTTAAAATAACCTTGTGGTCTCCAGAAGCACCGGCAGGCAATCGGAGAGGGAAAGACAGGGTAGGTGTATGAGGGGAGGTTAACCTAGGTGGGCATTAAACAATGGGTAAGCTTCCACGCAGCCACCCAATAGCTCAAGGGTTGGCAAACTACGGACCAGGGGCCAAATCTGGCCTGGCTTTATGTGAGGCTCTGGGGCAAAGAATAGCTTTTACATTTTTAGAGGATTGTTTAAAAGAAACACAAACAGCCCTGGCCAGTGTGGCTCAGTGGATTGAGTGCCAGCCTGTGAATCAAGGGGTTGCTAGTTCGACTCCCAGTCAGGGCACATGCCTGGGTTGCAGGCCAGGTGCCCAGTAGGGGGCATGCGAGAGGCAACCACACACTGATGTTTCTCTCCCTGTCTTTCTCCCCCCTCCCCCTCTCTAAAAATAAATAAAATCTTAAAAAAAAAAGGAAACACAAACAAGGGATATTATGCAACAGATGGTATGTAGCTGGTAAACCTGAAATACTTACTATTTGGCCCTTTACCAAAAAAGTTCAAGACAACTGCAACAAGCTGCAAGCTGCAGAACACTTGTTTATATTCTCTGAATGTTTTCAGTCTTTTCCAGGAGAGTGACCTGGGAGCACACACCACCCCCTCTTATTACAATGGCTACACAAGGATGGCCACTACCCACTATGCCTCAGCACCTCTGCAAGCACCAGTCACGGCCTTCTACGTGCAGGGAAGAAGAGGTGGCATGAAGAGTGTAAAGCCCTCTGTCCAGTGCCCGGCACACAGTGAGTGGCAGGTAAGAGCAAGCAGTCCAGTGCCACAGTCGGGAGCAGAGGTGTCAGGTCAGATGGGCCAGCATGGGTGCCCCTGCTCCCTCTTTTGCTAGCTGCATGATCTGAGGCCCGTGGTTTGTCATAGGAGCCTCAATGTTCTCGCCTGTAAAACAGGCTGACCATAGCGGATGAAGATTAAATAATGTATGTCAAGTGCTTGACAGAGCATCTAACAAATGTTGACCTGAGATGGCCCAGGTCCCCAGAACTGGGTGGGTATGAGACCACAGAGGCCAGGTCGGGGGCTCACCAGGCTGTGGTCCTTACTTGATTGGGTCGGTCTCATCCTTGCGCCTCTGCCTTTCATGTGCAGGTAGAGTCTCCCAGCCGAAGGTCAGGCTCCAGTCAAAGTTGCCCCGGCTGTGGACTCTGCCCTTCTGGATGGGCTTGGAGAACTCAAAAGTGTTAAGGTCAATGGTGACGATGTCTGGGCTCACCACCGCCGTCTCATCCTCGGTGATGCGAGCTAGGAGGGGCTCCAGCCAGCCATGGAAGCACTCACCTGCAGGCCAGACCAGGAGACAGCTGTCAGGGCTCTGATTACAGCTGAACCCATGCCCCAGGCCGGTGGGGAGACCCAGGAGGAAAAGAGAACTCTTCATTCATTTCCTAGCTGTAGGCAGAGGAACACAGGTAGGCTCCACGGCTATACAGATCATAGAGATCTCCTGAGAACCTCCTCCCTTCCTCCCCCCCCATCCAGAGATGTAGACAGCTTCGGAGGGAAGAATGGAGGTCTCAGAGGAGCACCGTGGTCCATTCGAATGATCCAGAAGCACAGGGAAGGCCCTGGGTGGGAGTCTTTGGGCTCCCAGCCCATCCACTGAATCAGCCCGCCCTGCCCGAGCGCGGGTGCCGGCACAGGTGTCCTCTTGCCCGAGAATATCTGCACCTCCAGCTCCAGCTCCGGTTGCAAACTAATAGCCCCTTTCACTTGCTGGCCCTTTGAGATTTTCAGTGACATACATACGACTTAATTTGGCCCTCAGAGTAATCATTCTGTTGGTGAGTAAGGTTGGTATCCTCTCGCCATCTTACAAATGAGGAAACTGAGGCTTTGTTAGAGGCAGAGCCAGAACGGAAACCTGGGTCTTCTGACTCCCAAGCCTAGGACCACCCCCCCCCCCGCCCCCGCCCACGCCCCCCCCCCCCATGCATCACTGCTTTTAGGGAAGTTGTTTGTTCCTGACAATGGTGGGAGGGGTCTTGTTTGGGGGAAGAGGGAGGCCTTCCTGGCTCCAGGTGGCCCTGCAGGAAAAGCCCCACACAATTAGTTCCAGTGGTGACAGGAGGCCTCTATGAGGGCTGAGCTCAGAACAAGGTGCAGATCAAGGAGACAGGAAAGTCTGGGGCTCCAGGGCTCACTCCCAGCAGTTGTGGGGTGACCACTTGTTTCAGGGTTGTGTGTGTCTGATAAGGCGTCCTTGGGATTGGGGTGAGAAACGGTTAGAAAAAGCTGGGGCGAGTCCCAAGCCTCCTTCACTCCAGAAACAGAGCAGGAAGGGGCCTCGGCCACAGCTCTTCGTCTGCCAGGGCGTGGGGCTGGGGGTGGGGTGGGGGACCCCAGTACACCCAGGCCAGCACTCTCACTCACAGTGGGCGTCCAGGAAGGTGAGCACCTCTGCCTGTGCCACGCTGGCTCCCAGCAGTCGGGCCGTGATCAACCCCTTCCGCTTCTCCTGCCGCACCACCCTCACGATCTGCAGCTGCTTGACGTACTGCTCCAGTTGCTCCTTTAAATACTCTGGAAGGGAGTGTCATTGTAGTCAGCTCACCACTTTGTTGCAAACCTAATCCCCTGTGGGCACCGAGCCCTGGGGCTCTCAGGCCTCCGGCAGGCCTGAATTTTTAACCCTCCCACACCTACCGCACCGAGCAGTTCTGTGGAAGCAGATGGTCGGGGGAGGGCTGGAAGGAGGAAGTCCTGCGTGGGGTCAGGCCCACTGGGCCAGGACACTGGCTCTTGCAGTGTCCATCCTGTGCCTGTTCACCCACCAGGCACCTTCTCTATTGTCCACGACGGGATCTCAGAGCTGTGTTTCCCTGATCTAAAATCAAGCACAGACTTCCGACCAAAGCTCTCAGATGCCTCTCTCGGTCTCTGCGCCCCTTCAGCCACCGTCTTTCAGAGCTGAGGCTCCGGTTGTGGCGGTCGTTCCTCGGCGTCTGGTTCCCTGCCTCCCAGGCTCCTTAGGTAAGTTTGCCAGGTAGAGCACACACATGTTGACGTCTGACTTCCTGGATCAGCGAGCGGCAAGAAGTCTTATTCTAATCTTTATGACTTCCTCTGCATGTACAATTTTTTAAGGAATGAAAAGATGCCAAGAAGCTTTTTAATTAAATTAAGAACATGCACCAAGGGCCTGCATTGGCCAGGCAGTGGTGAGCCCAGGCACCAGGGGACAGTGACCTGCCAGAGGCAGTGCAGGGCCTAGAGAGCCTGCAGCGGGGAAGCCACCCTGAACCTGGGGGTGGGGAAGGCTGTTTGAAGGGAGGGGCGTCTCTGCTGAGATCTCAGTTCCCTCTGAGTGGGGGCTCCTTTGCAGCCCTGTTATTCAGTCTGAAATCCTCAGAGCACTACAGATGCTATATTCTGAAGCAATCCATCCTGAAACATATTCCAAATCTTACTTATGTTTTATTAACTCCGATTCAGGTTTATCCATGTCACTGTTCTGTCCCTAACTGCAGAATGGAGTTGCCTGAAGTTTCAGAAGTGGAGGTGGAGAGCAGGTGTGACATGATTGTGTCCTTTCTCTTTCAAGCTGTGGATCGGCCTTGCTCAGACCTTGCTCTGAACGCAGTGCCGTACAAACTGTGGGGCCTGGGATCAGTTTGGGGTGGGGGTGATCGATCTCTCTCTCTCTCTGTCTCTCATATATTGACACTTGAGCACCTACTATGTGCCAGTCATTGAACTAGGTGCTTTCATGTTGACTTCCTTATTTAATATTCTCCATGAAAATTAAAACACTGAAATAGGGAATATTGTCCCCGGGGTTTATGCATCAAAATTAGCCTCATGTGGCAGCCTCGGCCCAGCGCTCGCTTAGCAAACGCCTGCTAATGCACTGCCCAGGTACCAGATTCTACCCTGGGCCGGGAGGGGCCTGGCCTGGGTCCTGCCTTCAAGGAGCTCCAAGACTCATAACCCAGTGGTATCCCCCAAGTGCTGGCTCTAACAGAAAGAAGGGAGGAGCCCAAACCAAGAGCCTCATCTTCTCAGTGTGGCTGCTGTTTCCCCAGAGAACTCGCTTATCTGGGCTCACAGGAAGTTCATGATGATGGAGACTCAGGGACAAAACATCACAGGAAGTGGGTTTTGTGGTAAGACGCTGCAAAGCACTAAGCTGTGAACCTCAGTGGGGCCTGAGCTCTGCAAGGCCTTTCTCCCATACCTTCCTCCAGGATCAGGTGGGTGGGCTGAACCTGGGGGCTGTGAGCCTGAATGTAGGTCCTTCTAGGGGAGTGAGGCAACTCCCCTAAGTTATGTGCCTGGGACCATCTTCTTCTTATACCCCGGACCCACTGGACACAGGCTCCGGAGCTGTGCACAGCAGAGCCGAGCGTGGAGACACAGGGAACCCATCCGTACCCTCTTATGTCCCCTAGACAACAGCCTCCTCATTTAAGTTTAACACCCCACCACGCCAGCCCAGCTTCGCTCCCCAGGACTGGATCCGTAAGACTCCTGTGATCTCTGGCACACACTTACTCACTCTCATCAACATGAGGATGGCCCCTTCCCAGCCTTGCCTCCTTTACTCGGATGTCTACCAGAACCACAAACCAAACATGCCCGAAGTGGAACTCCAGATTTCCTCCCACGCTGCACCCCCAGGCCCCTCATGTCAGCACACCGTACCGCATCCCTCGAGCTGCTCTGACTGAGGAGTCGTGCTGGAGTCTCCCCTTCTCTCATCCTTTGCAATCAGTCCATCAGCAAGTACTGCCAGTTCTCTCTCTTGGCCCCCTTCCCCCCCAGCAATAATGTCTTAACTGGTGTCCAGGCCTTTACTCTATACCACTCTTCCCAATCTATTCTTGACATAGTAGCAGAGTTGTCTTATAAAACTAAATCAGGACCTGGCCAGGGAGTTGAGTCCGTTAGAGCATTATCCCGACAGCACCAAGGTTGCAGGTTCGCTCTCCAGTCGAGGCACATACAAGAAGCAACCAGTGAATGCCTCGAATAGTAGAGCAACAAATCAGTGCCTCCTCTCTCTCTCTCTCAAATCAACACACTAAAAAAATAAATAGATCATGTCACCACAGTGGTTTAAAGTTGCCCTTGCCCTGACTGGTGTGGCTCAGTGGGTTGGGCGTCGTCTCGCAAACCAAAAGATCGATTCCAATCAGGGCACGTGCCTGGGTGGCAGGCCAGGCTCCCCGGTTAGGGCATGTAGGAGGAACCAATCAGTGTTTATTTCTCTCACACACTGATGTTTCTTCCCCTCTCTTTCTCCCTCCCTCTCCCTTTCTCTAAAAATAAATAAATCTTACAGTCGCACTGAAAAACAAATCCATTAAAAAAAATCCACACAGCATTGTGGTTCCTCAAAAAATTAAACATAGCTAAATATTTGTGACTTCAACATAATAAAACCTATTTTAAAAGAAAAAAGAAATTAAACATAGAATTACCACATGGTCCAACAATTCGACTTCTGGCTATGTACCCCAAAAAGTGAAAGCAGTTACTCCAGTATTTGTATGCTGATGCTGACGGCATTACTCACAATAGCCAACATGTAGAAACGATCCCAGGGACCGTGGGTATAGATGAATGGACAAACAAATCCAGTTTATACAAACAATTAAACATTCAGTGAATCCAAAGTGCCCCCCAAATGTCTCCTCCCCTGGGTCTCACTCAGCGCATTCCCCCTTACTTCTGGCTGCCCCTTCTCTCCTTTCCTTCGCCTGCTGAATCCTCTACTGTCACCTCCTACGGCACCCCTTCCTGGCCCAGCCCGCCTCCTCACTCCTCCTCTCTCCCTAAGGAACTTACTCACTGGGGTCCTGCTCCCTTCTCAGCTCTGCGGGTCCTGGGCATGGGTCTGATTTCCTCCCATTCATCTAGCACATTCCCACAGGAGGGAGGGCTAGGCTCGGTCTCCCCTAGGGGCACAACAGGGCTTTTGATATGCGTGTGCCCTTTTGGAAGCACAATAGACTGATGCGGGTCAGTTTTCAGAATCCTGTGGAGTGCGGCGCGACCAGGAGTAGACCTGGCCACACAGGAGTGAAATCTGTGCCCAGGGTTCAGACTCTGAGGTAGGTAAGAAGTTCCCTAGCCTGCTTCTGGGCGCCCCCCACCCCAACCCAGCACCAGGCATCTGCACACTCATGGTCTTAGAGCACTGCCAAGCACCTGGGTAGGAGGGCAGAGAGCATGGGCATTGCATTTCAGAAGAAACACAGCTCTTCCCTGTGTGTGTAATCAGAGCCAGTTAATCTGATTAAATGGTCAAATGTGTGGAAAATTGTACCCTGCTGTGGACTGCAGAGACTTCTGACAATGGATCTGAGTTTTACCCTCTTCCCCACGGAACTGAACATTGCTGGAAATATCTCAAGCACCCAAAAGCCCTCCCGATGGTGGTGTTTATCCTAGGACCCATCAAGTCCCTGGAATCACAGTGCAGAAATGTAAATGTGTGCACCTTGTTGTAGCAATTCTGCACTGTTCTTGGGAGAGGGGCAAAGTTTTGAACAGATTCTCAAAGGAGGCCAGGACCCAGAAAACTAAGAATGATGCATTTAGGATTCTCAGGTAGGTGAGTCCAAGATGCTGAAATTGGCCCTAAGACAGAGCCCAGGAGACAACCAGAGAGAAGGCCTGCTAGGGGCAGGCACTATGGAGGGCATCTAGGGGCTGCTGCAAAGTCTGCCCTACTAGGCACAGGCTGTTTTCCCCTCAGATGCTGCCCATGCCAGCCTGGCATTATGTCATTTTCCTGGTCTGGTCAGAGGAGTTGCCCAACTGGGCATTGTACCTGATGGGCTCAAAAAAGTCTGAGTGACAAGCAGAAACCGTTTGGACACAGGCGTGTCCAATCTTTTGGCATCTCTGCACCACACTGGAAGAAGAGGTGTTTTGGGCCAGACATTAAATACACTGTGACACGTAATCACACCCCCCAAAAATCTCCATAATGTTTTAAGTAAATTTACAATCTTGTGTTGGGCCATATCCACAGCCATCCTGGGCTGCATGCAGCCTGTGGGCCGTAGGTTGGACACCCCTAGATAGAAGGTTCACCCCACAGGATTCCAGCAGAGAAGCATCTGAGGGATGGGAAGCATAGGTTCAGGGGAGCGGGGTGACCAGAGAGCCTAGTTTGAGAGGCAGGGCAGTGGGTACAGGCTCCCCTTTCCAAACAACCATTCAATTGCTCCTAAGGCAGAGCTCTCAAGCCCCTCCCATCTCTGCTAAACTCTTTGCCCTTCTCTTTCTGGAAGCCTAATCTTATGCTCCTTGTCCACCAGATGCTCCAGACTCTCTCACTGCATCCATGATGTTCATTTGCCTTCACTTTGTAAGCACTGCTGGTGCCTATCCTCCCTGGGGAAAGGTGAACTCACCAAAGAAATGGACTCAGCAGTACTCTCCCTCAGCTCCTCCTTCCACTGCCTTCCCAGTCTTATTCCACTTAGCATGGCCCCTAACCCAGAAGGCAGGGGGGAGCCTGGGGAAGGTCAGGAGAAGCAGCTGCTCTACTTGAGTGGCCGGGGCATACACTGGGCAGTGCAGTGTCAGTTTGCATCGCTGTGAGAACATGGGCACAGGAGGCCAACCTGGGAGAACCCTCGACACCACACACCACCCAGGAGGAGGGCTCAGCTCCTGGAGACTCCCGGCCAGTGACGATGCATCAGTCCCTCAGCCCCTCTCCTAGTTCTGGCCCTGTCATCCAACTCTCAGGGGACTATAAGAACCTCCTCTCCAGACTTGGGGTCCTCGGCCTGTCTTCTTGACAATTACCCTCCCTCTGAAATGCTATCCTTCTGAGACAACATCACTCTCCACCTTAAATATCTTCAGTGACTCCTAATTTTTTCCAAATACTTTTAGCATGGCACAAATTTCAATTCAACATCTTTTTTAGTCTTACTTTCTGAAACAAACCTAAGCTTCAGCCACATCACACCTCTCAATTTTTCACAAATACACCTATGCCTCCAGGACTATGTCTGTGCAATGATCTCTCCTGGGAATGCCCTTCAATGCCTCTTCTCTCCCCAGACACTCATGCTTTCAGGCCCAGCTCCAATCTGTTCCCCACCGTGGACTGCCCCAGCCACACCATGTAGAAAGAACATCTCCTGGCTACGCATTGTTCCCACACAAAGACTAAACTGAAGCTAATATGGAGCTCTTACTCCATGCACAGTACTCGGTGTCACAGGAATTGTTTATTGCCTGTCTCTGGTCTCTTGTTCAGCATGGGAAGGAGTCAACTGTCTTCACTTTCAGAAGAGGAAACTGAGGCTCAGAGACGCTAAATATCTTGCCCAAGCTCACAGAGTTAAGAGGTAGAATTGGGACTTGAATTCCCAGATGTTGGCCTCCCAAGTTCACGCCCTTTCCTGTCTGTCGGGGGTGCGTTACGGGCCACACTGATGTGGCTGGTGTGGTGAGGAGCCACCTGATCCGCAAGGGTCGTTAGCTTTTTCAGGGCAAGCTCTGCCTCATTTGTTACTCATCATGGTATCCTCTACACCTAGGTCGGTGTCAGCCACAGAATACTCTAGATGTTTGTGGGATTACTTTAAAAGGTGTTTGGTGAGCAGTGTCACTTGCCTATTACCAACAAAGAGGGCATTTGAGGTGGAATCTTGCAGGAGCAGAGGAGCGGTGTGGTGGGGAGGAAGCAGAGGGAAGGCCCATCCCCGCGCTCTGCCCTGACCTCTCCCAGCATTTCCTCTAAGGGAGTCTCAGAAGCACGAACTTCTAAGCTCTTGGAGCTCTGTGGGCATAGTGGGAATGAAGCCCAAGCTCTAGGGGTATGGTCTTCCTGCTGCCTGTCCCCTACTTTCTTGCTCCTCACCCGCCTTCTCCTTGCTCCTGGCCTTTACGATGAGCTGTGATACCCGGCAGCAGGCAGTGAAGGTGCCCGCTCTCTTGAGAAACCATGCCCTTCTTCCCAGAATATGGGGCAGGGGAGATACCAGCCCCGGCCTCAGGGCTGCCCCTGGCCTCACCCTCAGTGCTGGCATCGTCCACCAGGATGATCTCCTTCAGCAGGATGGCAGGGCTGGTGTGCAGGACGCTGTACACCGTCCGCAGCAGCGTGGACCAGGCCTCGTTGTGAAACACAATGATGACACTGGTGGTGGGCAGTGGCGGGCAGCGCCTAAACTTCTGGTCGACACATCTGGAAGGACGGAAGTGTAGATACAGCTCTCTGAGTCCCTCAGAGTTCGGAGATTGGGGGGGACAGTCTGTGCACGGGACACCCATGACCACCCGCTGCTCCCAGGAACCAGCAGCCCACATTCTCTGTTGCAATTGAGAATAGCTGCTCCCCGTTCCCAGCTCAGCCTATATTTGCCACCCCCTTGGAGCCTCGGCACAGGTGCTAGCCAATCGACTCCAAAACCTGGTTCCCCCAGAGCTGGCCCAGTGCCCCAGCTGTGACGCTGCGGGCTCCTCCTTGCTCCTGCTCCGGCTTCTCTGATCTGCTCTAGGAGTTCCCAAGGCTGACTCTTCCTCAGTAAGACCTGCGTAAAGCGTAATCCCGTCCAGAGGCCCCAGAGGGGAAGTGATAAAAGGCAAATCTGACATCTGAGAAAAGTGACTACAATTTTCATATTCTCGTTACACTTGACAATTCTCCTCTAATGCATTTCCTCATTAGTTCCCTGTGATCTCACACTACTGTCACAATCTGTTTCCTGTGACCTTTTCTTTACCTCACCCACTTCAAACGCTCTGGCACCTGGCCGTGCTGCTGCCCTCCTGACACTCCAGCTCAGGGAGGTTGTGGACACGTGGATCCTGGATCTCAGGGGAACTCGAGGCCTAACTCCCGTTCTAATCCCATCTGCTAGTTGGAAAGATTTCTCCTGGAGCCACCTCTGGCTGCCTATACAGCCCTGAGCCCTGAACCCTTCCCTGCTGAGGAGCTCATGATAATTCCAAGTGGCGCCAACTTCTAGGACTATAACACTTGGCCAAGTTCTGAGGACCCCAGGTTCATGACCCTAAAGAATCATGAATTCAGGGATGGGAGCTGCCATGCGACAACACACCGAAAAGGGTATAATTCTTGTGTCGGGGAAGACAAGCCTGAATGAGAAAGACACAGAATCTTTGACTTGAGGACAGTGCGATCACAGCCACGACCACATGAGAGTGAGGCGGCTTACAGCTCCGAGATCTCGGTGCCAGTTCAGCGCCAGGAAGAGAACATACACAGCTTCAGATGAAGGCTGGAACCAAGCCCCGGGCTTGCGCGCCTTCACTGGAGGGTGAACATCAAAAGGTGTGGGCACGGTCCTGACCGCTCGGGCCACTGTCGGGGAAACGTCCCCTCCCCAACAGCTCCGCAGCAGAGCCCTGAATTCTGGGGCAGGCCCCAGCAGAGGGCAAGGCCCCCAAATCAGTCCCTCTCAGACACCCCTGTGCCAGGTCCCAGTCCCTGAGTTCCCCTTTCTGTCCCCTGTCCCCTTCATGAGTGTGTTTCCCTCTCACAGGTCTCCCTGCCCCTCTGTCCTGACCAGAACAGTCTTGAACCCCAGACCCTGGGACAAGGATAACTGGTCAGGAAAAGGAGTGAGGGTGCAGAGGAAGACCTTACCTATATCTAAAAATCCCTATCAGTTCTTTACTTGGCACTTGGCCCACAGCCACAGCCATGGCCACACCAGCCACACTTTCCACAGAACCCTGACCTCATCCTGTACCTTACTTACTACTACTTACTCAGGGGGTCGAGTGTCGGGCCCCAGAGCCCTCTGCAGGGAGATCCGGTCACTGGCGAAGGCATTGAAGCAGTGCTTCTTGTAGCCTTCTTCCTTTTCCTGGGTCTCCAGCGGGGTCCACTTGTCCTTCTGAAATGCTTTCCCGTCCGCCCCAGGGCTGTTGGGGTCCTGTGGCGGCCGTTCCCAGAAGGGCTTCAGTTCCGCCTGGGTATAGAACCCAGGGAGGCAGGACTTGTTTGTGGAGACCAGTGCCTGCTGGGGCTCTGGAGCCCTGATCTGGAGCTTGGGCATCGAATCCTTGAGGTTGTTCACGGCTCCCAGCATGAGGTCCAGGACGTGGTCCTTCTGGCTCACCAAGGACTTCAGCCACGGTTTCTCTGTGGCCTGTTCCCTGTTGCTTACATCCCTCTGCAGGATGAAGAGGAAGAGCACAAAGGCACTGCCCACCATGGCCAGGCGCAGGGGCATGTGGCGTCTGCGGAAGAGTCTCATCCTCTGGAACCGGTGGTGACCCCAGCTGAGTCAGCTCTAGTGCTGGGCCCAGCCCTGGAAATAGCTTGATGTGTTGTGGCAGCCACACCTTGGGGCCCGAGCCTGAGAAGAGAGGAGATGAGGGAGAGAAATAAGCCAAGGCAGGGGTGGAGAGGGAGTCAGGGGGTTTGGGGTTCAAGAGCAGGCTCTGTTCCTGAATAGTAACATCACCTTATCCAGTCACCTAACTCTCCTCCATCCATAAAATGAGGAGACTGGAATCAGTGTTTCTTTCCTGCCCAAAGATTCTGACATTAATGGATAGAGAATAACCAGAACACTCAAACTCTAAATGCAGAGATTAACGGACATAACCACTTTAGGAAACAATTTGGCAATTCCACTCCGAGTTTCATATCCCAGACAGACCCCAGTGCACATGAGCCAGGAGGCACGCACCGGCAAGTTTCTAGGAGCGCTGGCTAAAACGGCAAAGACAGCAACCGTCCAAATGTCCATTAGCAGTAGAATGAATAAATAGGTTGTAAAATATATCCACATTATGGCGTATGCGACAGCAGTGACAAAGACTGAACTACTTCTAAATGCAACATCCCAGATCTTATATCGAGTGAAAAAAACAAGTGGCAGAAAGATACATACAATATGGTTCCATTTATAGAAAACTGTAAAATTTAAAACTAAACAATGTATTGTTTGTGAAAACAAAAATGAATACAAAATATTGTTCATGAATACAAAAATAAATGTGGTAAAGCTATAAAGAAAGCTGAAGGGCCCTAGCCAGTGTGGCTCAGTGGACTGAGTGCCGGCCTGTGAACCAAAGGGTCACTGGTTCGATTCCCAGTCAGGGCACATGCCTGGGTTGTGGGCCAAGTCCCCAGTAGGAGGCGCGTGAGAGGCAACCACACATTGATGTTTCTCCCTTTCTTTCTCCTTCCCTTCCTCTCTCTAAAAATAAATAAACAAAATAAAAAAGAAAGAAAACTAAAGGGACAGTGAAACCAGAGTTTCTAAAGAGGGAGGAAAGATATGAGAATAAAGGCATACCAAACTTCAAAGTAAAGTGTTTTTTCTTAAAGTGGGAGGTGGACACTACTGGTACTGTTATTCCTTATAGCCTAAACATATTTTATAAATATCCTTCCGTATCTACTCATATTTAATAAGAAATAGATATCTAGATTCTATGACAACACCCTCCAGGCAGGACTGAGCTTCGGTATTCGTCAGCTTACACCCTAGGCACACATATCATCCCACAGCTCAGAGGACATTTGCCACGTTTTCCGTGGAGAGCTCTGGAAACACAAGGTCCCTTGTTAAGCACCAGATGTTCATGGCAGTAGACCTGCGCACAAATCCCAGTTCTGCCCCTTCTAGTAATAATAGCGCCTGCCTCCTAGGGTTGTTACAAGGATAATAAATTCAATGAAACAAACATGAAAAAAGCTTAGTTGTCTCTGCTTACAGTAGATTCTGAGAAAGGATTAGTTTTTCTCATTAGTGGCTATGTGACCCTTGGGCAAATTACTTAATCTCTCTAAACCTCAATTTCCTCATCCATAAAGTGGGGATAACTAATACCTAACTCACAGGGCACAGTGAGGATTGAATTAGAGCTAATGTATGTAAAACCCTCGGCAGAGTGCCTGGCACATACTAATCCCTCAGTAAATGGTATCAATTTATATCATTATAATTAATAAATCTCTACTCAGCTTTCCAGCAATTTTCCTCAAGCACCTGGTCCTTGGCCAAAGCCACACTCATTACCCTGTGGCATGTCTTGCCTAAAAGTAACTTCATTTGAGCTATTTAATTATGTTGCTTAAACACGAAAGCTCCTGCTCGCGGAGAAGCCTGCCGTCTGGAGTCACTTGGATGTGGGGAACATGATCTCAAGGGGGAGCATGAGTCACTCTGGGCTGGGGGAGACAGGTGGTTTTCTTTTGTAACATCAGACTCAGCTGCAACATCAAAAATCAAATAAAACGAAATCTCTCTGAGCATCTATTTTGTATTAGATGTTGCCTAGGAGACAGGAGAGGAGATGGCTTGCTCTGCCAGTGTTGGTGGAGCACCTGCTATATGCCAGGCACTCTGCCGGATGGGAGACACAGAGATGAGCAGGCTCAACCTTCAGGAAGCATACAGTCAACTGGGGGAGGCAGACTTTAAATACAGATCGCTCAGTGAGACTTAAGAGAGGCACCTTTGGGTGCTGACAGAGAGAAGATACAAGAAACTCAGTGGGTGGGGGAGGGTGACATCTGGGAAGAGGTCCCAAGGGGGAGGAGGTTGGGCTGAGCACTAACCCACAAACAGGAGCTAGCCAGGCGAAGTGAGCACACACGGAGGCCTAGAGGCAGGATGCGGCACAGCCAGTCAGAGAACAGCAGGCAGCTGGGGTTGTGGGAGAATGAAGTCTGATGGAAGTGGCAGAGGATGGGCCTGGGGAGGCAGCTGCCACCAAGTCATCATGCCAAGAAGCCTGCCACCGACCTGAAGTATGAGGAGCAACCCAGGGTTAGAGGGAGCATGGCACTGCAGGAAGGACCACGTGATCGCTGGGGGAGGGCACCAAGGAGATGGGTCTGATTGGCAGCTGGATGGCCACTTAAGAGGGGCTTGGGATGTGACTCAAGACTGCAACAGTGCTGATGGCGGAGGGAGGCTGTGGTGCTAGATAAACCCCCCGGGACCGTTCAGTTCAGCTGGGACAGTTCAGTCCGGCTGGGGCACGAGGTATGAGAGGATTGCTTTCCCCACGGGATTTTAGGGTCTAGCTAGAAGACAAAAACTGGTACCACTGGGTCTAGGTAGCACCTGTCTGGGAGGAGACGGAGCAGGAAAAACATCTTTCACTGAATGCCCTTTTGCACTTTGAACCTGACTACATTATCTATTCTAAAAGTAGTAACATTAAAACACTAGCACAGACAGTGAGCGCCCAGCTGGAAAAGGCAGAGTTCCCCGTGGGCTTGCAGAAGGCTTCAGGAGGAAATGGGAATTCATTGTAGAAGGAGTTTTCTGCTCCAGGCGTTGAGCTATGCTGGGCTAGCACAAGGAGTTCTGCTGGAGCTAGACACCCCAGAAACCCTGGAACTGCCCCAGCTAAGCACAAACGGAGTCCAACAGGATGGGAAGTGTCTGCCATGACAGTATCAACCTGTCCTGCAGGCCACGCTTCCCTGACATGGAGGCAGTCTCATAGAGAACAGGCTCACAGCTGGAGGGGGAGTGGGGAGGGGTGCCAGAGGGCTCAGTGGGTAGAGAGATTGTGAAAAAAAAAAAAAAAAGGAAAATAAAGGAATGTAACCTTCCCCCAAAGAAACAACACTGTTAGCAGCTTAGTCAAGTACTAAGGACTCACCTCCTCCAGGAAGGCCTCCCTGACCAACTCACTCAGAATCACCCAGGTCACTTCAACTCCCACTTCCTGGCATTATGTCATGATCCCTCGAAGTGGGGTTGGCCTTTATTCCTTTTATTTCCCCTGAAGAAAGAGACCTAGGGTTAAATTGAGCCCTTCCCTGGCATACGTTCTCTCAATCCAACCTAGTGGTCAAGGCTTTCTCTTTAGAGCCTGCAATTCCTCAAGGTACTAACCACATCCTGTAGTGAAAGGAGACACCTGTGATTAGCCTTGGCCGTAAGGCACTTGTTTTCTAGTTTGTTTGCTCAGCGTGCAGGTGATAGGAAAAGAGTCACTTAGAAGAGACACATAATCCGATGGAAGCCAGAAGACTGGGATTAAGGATTCCCGCTGTCCGAGTAGATGATTCCCAGAAGTGTGGTTAGTGAGGTCAGGGAGGTTGCCCTTCCACCAGCCTTGGGGAAGCAATAGCCCCTCTTCCATGCGCCGAGTGCAGGGCTTCATGGGATCTTCCCGTGTTGTCCTGTGTGGCTCCCTCACCTTCGGGTTCCCACAGTACGGTCGCCAGGTGCACTGGCAAGTGCGCCCACAGCCCGGACCCACTCAAGCCTCTCCTGCTGCTGCTGAGAGTTCGTGCCCAGTTCTTTTTCCTCCAGCGACTCTTGGGATTTCAACACATCAGACCGTCTTGGGCTTCAGTGCTGAGATGATGCCAGAACACAGATTCATCTCCTGCCACTGGCCTAAGGGAACTGAGCCTTCCCCCAGCTCAGTGTCTATGAAACCGCTGACCACACCCCACTATAGGGTTGTGAAATACATTTAAACTGTTGCAAATCAGCATGAAAATTTTATTTAAAATAGACCAGAATGGAATAGAACAAAAAAAAATCAAAGTAGGTCACATGTAAAACAGGCAATGTTTTGTTGAAAATTTCGTTTCAGTTACTATATATACATATATAGTGTTCCAAAGGCCTTAGGGAAGTTTTACACTTTAATAACTTCAGAAACAGAAACTCTACAGACTTTCAAAGAACACCATTTGGAACTTTTATTTAAATTTCTTTTACCTTGTTGAGTTTTATGAATTTTGAAAAATAAATTTTTATTTTAATGTTTGTCTCAATCTATTGATGATAAACATTTTCCAATACAAAATGGAAAATTTTTTACTCAAAAATTCATAAAGGTAAAAAATGTCAATTATTACATTTCAAATAATATTTTTTGTTCATTTGTAGAATTCATACCTCTGATGTGATAAAAGTGTAAAACTGCCCTAAGTCTTTTGGGATACCTTGTCACACGTTAAGTGGGTATGAAATTCTGTTGTAAAATGTCTTTCTTACTTTGCTCCAGTCATAGAGATCTGAAAGCCAGTGACGGACACAGCCCAGCCCCCAGAAGCCTTCTCAGATCTGTAGCAGAATTCCTCTCCCCACCCGCCTCGACGCTTAGCGGCCTATTTACACCTCTCCGCCCGCCCCACCACAGCCTTCCCTGTGTGGGAGCAGTCTGTTCTCTCTCACACCTCTGTGACCTCCTGGACCAGACAGGCCAGGTTGTGTTCACCTCTTTAGCACTTGCAAAGTCTAGCACAAGGTTAGCATGTAGGAAGTAGTCCACGAACTCGTGTTAAAAGAGACCAGGGCAGCCTGGTGCAAGCTACGAGGGTAAGCACTGACTTCACCTGGTGATGTTTTGAATGCACTTACTCCAACAAGGACCGAGTCACATGATATTCTGTTGTCGGGCATTAGCGTGCCACCTTGACTAGGTCTGCCTGCCAGTCCAGCAGCCTCAGATTTTACAGGTGAGGCCGGAGTGGTTAGGTGACTTCTATGTTGTCGCACAGCATGTGGCTCCCAGCAGCAGATGGCCGTCTCTAAACTGCCAGGCCACTGCTCTGTTCCCACATCTCACCGACCCCTCAGAGGCCCCCTGGGGAGTTTGGGGACAGGGTTTGGATCTCCTGAGCCTGGGCCGGGGCTGTTTTCCTAAGTGTCCCAACTGTACTCTCAGATCCCCACCCCCACCCCAAATCCCACTCAAGCCCAAATGTTTAAATGCTTTAAAGATGCCAAAACTGGAAGTCCCAAACAAAGTTTCAGCTTTTATGAAAGCTAGGGTTAACCACACAAAACACATCCTTGCTGGCCAGGTGACCTCTTTGTAACAAGGTTTCTTTCTGTTTATCAACTGAGCGGCTCACCTCCGGAGACGTGGCAGCCAGGAAGTGAGGCACCGCCACAGGGATGTTTGTTCAGGGTGGTCACACTAAGGCTCGATGACAGGTTTCTTGAAACGAGGTGACTGTCACCTCTCTCACCCAGGGTGCAGGTGCCTGGAGCGGGACACCACCAATGGGGAGGGGACAAGTCAATTTCAAGCTACTGGTAGGGGAGGGGGCCAAGAGGCAGCTTTGGCCAAACACCATCCCGTTCTTCCTTGCCTTCTCTTACACACACACACAGCACTCCTGTCACTTCCTCTGCTCGTGTGCGGAGAACAAGGTAACAGACCATCTCCTTCAAGCCCCACCTCCCAGCCCGACCCTTCTCATTACAGAACGCTGCGAGGTTTTCACTTTTCTCCATAATTACACCTTTAAGACACTTCAGCTGCTATGGCTTATTTTCCCAGAAAGACACAGTGTAGGTTATTTCTGTAGCTAGTCTGTTCTTTCCCCAGCACACCTAGGTTCCTTTTATGTTCATATAACACCTTAAGCTGAAGTAAACCCAAACGACAGGTTTTCAGTTGGAAATAACCCACCTAACTCTGCGCACACAGTAAACCTAGAACAGTGTGTGTATATATATATATACTGGCACATATACTTGGCATGTGTACAGTAGGCACTCAGTAAATATTTATCAATTTATTACAATGCTGTGAAAGTCCCTGAAAATCAAAATAATATGTGACCCAACAGAAAGTCCCACAGCTAGACCCCAGGTCTTCACTGGAGTTCCTCGCAGGCCCCGACAGGCGGGCAGGAATGTGCAGCTGCATTCAGACTCGAGACTGCGGGCTCCTAGGGACCCAGGGACGGAGGAGGAAAGTTCAGGTGGGCATTTCCTAAACCCTGGTGGCAGGCTGGGTTTGACAGAAGGCAAAACAACAACAACAACAACAACAACAACAACAACAAACCCTCTAAAGAACAAAACAAAAAAACTTGAACTGAGACTTCTCACCTGTTGGTTGCGGGTGTGGAGGGAGGATGAGGGGACTGAAAGGAGAGGTATTCCTAAGGGCTCGGACTGCTCTCCGGATTGTGGTGGGGGCGGAACTAAGTCTTGCCTTCTCTCTCCCACCCACTGTCCACTCAGGGCCCCCAGGGACTCAACATGCCGCACCCTGCGGTCAGTGTGTGCGTCCTGCCCGATCCCCTAGCCAGCATTCCCGGTTTCCCCACTGCAGCCAGCGGCGCCGAAATCCTAGAAACAACCACCTCTGCCCCACTCCCGTGTGTGGAGCTCAGAATCCCTTCTCAGTACCAGGTTCACCCCACCCACTGCCGAATTCTGCTAATTCATTCCCTGCCTCCCGGATCCTCCTCTTCCTCCCAAAACCCGCATCTGAATGCCTGAATGCACCCTTATCACCCAGCATCTGGAGGATAAGCAGAAGCTGCCTGCCAGCCAGCGTCCTTTGCCTCAGGCCTCCCTCTCCCTTTCACAGCCAGAACAGCCAGAACAGCCACATCCATACTTCTTCGGCGCCACTCGATGGCACATTTCCACACGGCCTGGGCAGCCCACTTCCGGTCTGCTGTGCACCCCCACTGGCCATCTTTCCTCCCCACTGCCTGCCTCTTGCAGTCTGGCTATTATGCAAGCCAGGTTTCTTTTCTCTTTCACATTCTGATTCCAAACTCCCCTCCTCCAAGCAGCCTTCTTAGACTGACGCGTATCTTAGTGCCCTCAGTATCACCGTGCTTTTGTTTCCAAGTTTTACTACCCATGTTTCCCCTTGTGGGACTTCCCCACTAGATTTTAGGAGGGAGAAGTAACAGGTCTAGACACTAAGCCATTTAGATCCTGTTTGCTTGCTCTTTCCCAACCCTTAAATCCTGGTTCCCGATTCCTGCCGCTAGAACGCAATCCACCTGGCCTTCCCGCCCCTGCAGGATCCCTCTGCCCTGAGGGATTCGGTTATGCTGTTCCACCGCTCTCATCTGTCCTTTGTTCTCTGTTACATGTCAGATGTGGAGCTGACAGTGGGGATTGGGTTTCTTCCTTCCTTCAAACCTCTGCGTAGGGCTCAGGACTAGGTTGCCCAGGGTACAGAAGAATTACCTGACCCCACAGGGCTCTTAGGTGCCACAAAAGAGTCTTCTAACAGTGCTTTTTCTCTCCAGACTGAACCCATCCTTGTTCACTGTACAAGCCTTTTCAACAGCACAATTATAGCATTGAGCTCGACAGAGACAGTCACTGCCCTGCACTTGACCTCTCCCTTATTTAAACCCTCACTCTCATTCCCATCAAATGAGAAGGGACATTTTGGGATTTCCCAGAGAGGAGCAGGGGCTGCACGAAGAGCTGAGTTTACCCAAGTCCTTGGCACAGCGACTCACTGGGTCCCCCGGCGCACAGGCACCTGCTCCGGTCCTCGGCGTCACTTCCAGGGCTGCGGACGCTGGAACGAGTCTGTGAGAGCCAGGGGAGGGTCAGGACAGCACCACCACTTTTAAAACTACTACTCACCACACCAAGTCAAGTAACAGCTACCTTCTCCATTTTACACAGGAAACTGAAGCACAGCAAGCTGAAGTAACTTGACCAACATCACATGTCTAGGAAGTAGCAGAGGCAGGATTTGCACTCCGGCCCATGTCTCTCCAAAGCCCACCCACTGCCTTACCCACCACACCTCCCTGCCTTGTATTTGGCTGGTGCTTACAGCTTTGCCAAAGCTCTTTCATACACACCTTCTCATTTGCTCTCCGCCCAGGGAGTGTTTATGTGATTTGGCTAAGGTAGACAGCTAAATTAGCGATAGGGCTGAGTCAGCTGCCTGCCTCCATTATACCCACTGCCTTCGGGAATTGAGAGGCCCTCGGTGCTAGGGCTTACTGCCCTCCTATTTCTGACTTCTGTTCTAGGCAATGGCTACATGGACTAAGCCCGTGGCCATAGCCCCTGCCTGGTTTTCTCCCACCTGAACTTGGGCTAAGATGTTTCTGATCTCAGAGGGCATCTGACACACATGAGGGCCTCCCCTTTCATGCCTGAGTTCTTCTCTACTGCTGTGGGAGGGAGTCAGCCGTCCTGCTAACCGTGGGCAGTGATTACCGAGGATGAGGCCATGTCAGTCAATCATCCAGAATCCTTCGTGGTTGCGCCTGCTTCAGACTATCTCTTCCCTTTGACAGTCCTGTTCTGTTTTCTGTCCCGGTGCCCCTAAAGTGTTACCTCTGGGTGCCTAACACGAATGGGATCCTTGCGGAACAGGAGCGAGGGAAGTCCCTGCAATCATACTGACTTTTGCTGGATAATTTGAAGCAAAGTATGTAGCATGTACCACCCATCTCATGAATTTGCCTGCCTCATCCTTTTTACCTTTCCTGTGATGGGTAGGGACACAGCTGATCTGTCCTCGAGGAGAACAGGGCCTGGGTGGTAGACACCCACCTCTACTAAAATGACCACAAGCCCCAGGGTCTTTGGTGTCTCCAGAGTTGTTAACCTCTGTGGGCCTGGGGGCGCGTGCTGAGAGCACAGTATCAGAACGCTGCCTGGGACCATTGCAATGGGTTGTTGGTAATAGAGGAGGTCTGTTCTAAGCTTTGGTGGCAAGCTGCCCCCCACCCACACACACAGGAGAGCTCTGTCCTATCCTCTGCCGGGATCAGGGTCTTGGGGTGAGTAAGTTTCTCCTTTTGGTTAGCTGGGCCTTGGAACAAATGACGGGGAAATGGGGAAGTTGGTGAACAGCCACAATCATGAAGATACATCAGACTCCCTCCCCACAATGTCACATAGCTCCTACTTGCAAAAGGCCCAAGGCCCCAGAGGGAAGACTTCTGAGGTGGACCTCAACCCCCCAGGAGGCTACCCTTGCCTTGCCCCTTCTGCTCAGGGGCAACATGACACTGGGGGAGGTGACCTCTGCAGAAGGGTTCCAGGAGCAGGGCCCGGAGGGAGGCCCACCCAGGGGAGGCTGGGCGCACAAGACGTACGCAGCGGCGGGGCTGAGTGAAGGGAAGAGGTGGAGAGCCCTGGAGGGAGGGCGACGGCTTGTCCTTCTCCTGCCCCACCCTTGTAAGCCACAGAGTCCTGAGCTTTCCTTGCATTCATCCTTTCAGGGGCAAAGGAGGAGCGGATCCTACCGCCGGAGGAGCTAGAGGCCACCACGACCGATTAGGACCAGCCTGGCCCACCCTCTCCATTTTATTGTGGGGTGTGGTGAGGAGGAAGACGAGGAAGACGAGGAGGAGGAGGTGGAAGAGAGCCAGGACGTGGCAGAAGCGAGAGACTGGAGGGAAGTTTCGAGAAGGGGGACAGCTCAGAGTTTCAGGTCAGGGGGAGGGTCGTAGGGGCCGGGGAGGGTCGCGGGCTGCTTCCGAGACTTACCTGTTGCGCCGAGGCTGAGGCTGAGGCTGAGTCGCTGCCGCGCCGCCGAGCAGCTCGTGGGTTTTCTGACGGGACGTCCTGGAGGGCGGGGCCGGGGCAGGATCTGCAAGGCCACTGGAGCGCGTCCTACCCGCCCCTCCCAGGCTAGGTGCTGGCGGCCTCCCCCGGCGCCCCGGAGCGCCGCTGCGGGCCGCGCCTGGTCCCCGCAGCTCCCGGGGCCTCCCGGAGGCTGGGTGCCCGGTGGCGGCCCGCGGTCCCATAAATTCTCCCCTCCGCCTGCTGGCCGCTGCTAGGAGCCCAGCTTTTCCAGACCTCAGCCCACCCCAGGGTGCGGCCTCCGCCGAAAAAATTTGGAGGGTCCCTACCCACCCCAAAGTCGAAGGGCATCAGCGGTCCTGCCAGCGGCGCGGACCGGCGTGTGCGGGGAACCGCACTCTGTGGGGGCGCAGCGGGAACCCTCAGAGCCGGAGGCAGCCGCGCTGGAGGGTTAAACCGGGGGCAGGTGGTGAGGAGCCCGGGGCTCCGTCCCGTGTTTGCTTCTCATTGGCGGGGCAGTCTTGGGCAAATGACTCCTCCCCCCTCCACACAACAGCGAGAGCGAATGCCTGCAATTGTTGTCCAGGATGTACACGGGGGACGGCTGGTCGCACAGCTCAGGGGTGCTCAAAGTGGGTCCCCGATCAGCAGCATCAGTAGCATCTGATAACTTGTTAGGAAGGTAGTAGATTCTTGGGTCCCAACCCAGACCTAAATAATGCAAATCTCTGGGGATGGGGCCCAGAGACTTGTGTTTTTCAAAGCTCTCCAGGTGATTCTGGTGCACCCTCAATTTTGAGAGCCATTGAACCTGTGGTGGCAGAACTGGGATTAGAATCCAGGTCAATTCATTTCCTGCACGTAGGCTCGGAACCACCCCTTCAGGCTGCCCACTGGTCCTGTCCAGCTCCCAGAGTGAGTCCGTGATGTCGTCTGAGGCTCCTTATCTCCACAATAGAGAAGTAGCACAGTGGACTCCAAATAGCCCTGATAATTTGAAAGTTTTCTATGATAGAATCTGAAACCACGAATTGTGTTTTTCTTTTGTTTTTATATTTAAACAAGTTTGTATCTCTGTGTTTACAAGACCTGGGAGCAGGGGTGTGGATGAGGAGGTCTGAGCAATCAGACAGTTCTGCCACGAACTGGGACAGGCAGGGGAAGCCACTTGGCAATGAACTGTTGGGTGAAGAAGTAATCTTACTTTCTGGCCTGGGACCCCACGGTAGGATTGAGCTGTGCAGCAGGAGGCCAAAGGCTTTCCAGTGATCGAGTCTGGGGAGACGAGGCGGGTGGACCGTGGAGACCTTGCCCAGCCCCGCCAGATCCGGGGGATGCTGAAAGACAGGTGTTCCTGAAGGAGCAGAAAGGGGGGTGTCCACTCTCTTCTGGCATGGCCACCTGTCTCCTCCTTCTCCAAGTAGCTGAGTAATCCCCCCCCCTTTCTTTCTCACTAGAGACTTTCTGGGGTCTAAACTCCTAAAGGAAGACTTTCCACAGTGGTTACCTGATCGTGCATTTCGGCCCGGAGACAGACGCTCAGGGCTCATTTGGGCTCCCATCGCTCCAGTTGCCACCGTTCTCGTCACTTGCCTTATCTGACAGCTATCTTTCTCAGAATAAGGGCATTCTCCATCGAAGACTGCCGGATGCCGCCCCTTATTTCTGTCTCTCTGAGGGCGGACACTCCCTTACAGGTCTGGCCCTACGATTTTTGCTCCACCCTTCCTCTAACTCTGCTCTGTTACTCCCAGGGGTCAGGTGGTTCTCACCCAGCCCCGGAGCCTCAATCTGGACCCAGGCTGACCTGAGGGTGGCAGGCTAGGCTGGATTCACAGCCTCCGTTCTTCCCCAGGATGCTCATGATCACGGACTCCACCCCAGTGTCCCGGGGAAGCAGCATGAGTCTGTATTCTGTGCACCACTTTCCGGAAGCAAATTACTCATTCAATTTTATTTCAGCTGACTCTGATTTTAAACGTGACTTTGAGTCCTCAGAATCATTAGCTGCCTGATTTGGAGGCACATGTCTACAGGGTGTGGGACCCACCCTTAATGTGTCATACACTGAGCTGTTCAGCCTCCCTGCCCTCGGCGTCAGGGAGGCCTGCAGATGAGCCGCTGCAGGACAGCGACGGTGACTTCAGCCTACCACTGCTGGCTGGCCACTTTTAAAAAGATCACTTCAATTGAAAAAGTTATATAGGCATATGGTTAAAAAAATCAAGCATTACAAAAGATGTACAATGAAAGATACGTTTCCTTCCTCCCTGCTTTCAGTTCTTCTGTCCAGAAATCAATTTATCTTGCGTATCTCTGACCGAAACTCGCCATCATTAAGCTTTTCTGCAGAACATGCCTGCATCCCCTGCTCTGAATTTCATTTTTTCTCACAATCTTATTTTTGTTTCTGAGCCATTTTAGATTTTGTTTTTGGGTGCTGAGTTTTGCTTTTCACATCCGTGTGCCTCAGGGGCTCCCCCACCTCACAGCAGGAAACGCTGTGGGGAGCAGTTCAGTGGAAGCGAGTGAGACAAGAGCAGCTCTGTGAGGCTGGGGCGTCGGCTTTGGTCCTTATCAAGTCTCTTCCTGCTACACGCAGCGCCTGATAAGGGGACACCCACCTCTGGGTGGGGCAGGATGAGGGAGATTTGCTCATCTGGAGGAGCAGCTGGCTCCACTTTGCACGGAAAGTTTGCAGAGGAAGCGCCCTGAGCTTGCCAGGGAGGTTAGAGGGGAGGGCAGGTGGCTCGCTGACAATATGTCCGTCCCACCTGTGACTTTCTTCCTCTGCCCGAGAGGGTGGCTAACCCTAGAAGGAACCAAATAAGTCCCTGTAACTTTCTAACGTCTCAGTTTGTTATCTGTAAAGTGGGGTTAATGATGCTTAGGGTTGTGACGCTGAAGCAAATAGCTGAGATGAACGTGAGACGATTCAGTTCCAGCACATCTGCTTTTTCATCTCTTTTCTCCCTGTGCTCCCCATTCGCCCTTCTCATCTCATCCCCGTGTGCCCAGAAGAGAGGCAGTCTCAGCAAGAAACCTAATCAGAGCCGCTCCAAGTTCTGCCATAACTACTGGTTCATTACAATTCACTCAGCTCTGTGTGCCTCAATTTCCTCATCTGTAAAATGGATATATTATTTTTATTATTGAGTTGTTAGATTAAAATAAATAAAATGTTTATCTAACCCAGTGCCTGGTACACAATAAGCACTAAGTAAATGTTAGAATGTTAGTTATTATCATTGGCTCTTTTCCTTCTTCCTTTCCTACCTTCAACAAAACAATGTTGAAGCCCAAGCTTGGTAGCTGCTATGCTAGGTGTTGAGTAGGACACAGATACAAAGGTGAATAAGCCACATCTTTCTCCCCAGGACACCCATAGTCTAGGGAAAGAAGTTGATACATGTGAAAAAGGATTATGACTGGGGCAGAGACAGGTCTAGGGTAAGGTGAGTGAGGCACTTGCTTTGGATGCAAAATTAAAGGAGCACCACAAAATTCAGTAATTCAAATAATTCAATGTTTAATAATATTTAATGTAATATTTAAAAAATCAAAATTAATAAAAATCTGCAATGAACAAAGCATCAACAATTTAAAATAAAGAATTGTGATCTGCTGAGCCATATTGGAGCTTGAGGCAAAAGAAAAAATGTGTATACCATTCATGTTTTTCTGTGTGTTTTTTTTTAAAGATTTTTTAACTTACTTTTAGAGAGAGGGGAAGGGAGGGAGAAAGAGAAAGAGAGAAACAGCAATGTGCGACAGATACAATGATCAGCTGCCTCCTGCATGCACGCCACCAACTGGGGACCTGGCCCACAACCAGGCATGTGCCGTGACCGGGAACTGAACCCGTGACCTTTGGGTTCGCAGCCTGGCTCTCAGTCCAGTGAGCCACACCAGCCAGGGCTTTATCTGTATTTTTTAAATGCTTATTTTTTTCTAGTTCATTAAAGTAGTTGAAAAAAATATTGAAAGATAAGTATATTAAAACCCACAACATTAATTTAAATTAAATAGTTTATTTATACACAAACAGAATTTACTATGACTTTACTTCAGCTTAATTAAAATTTATTTAAGATCATCACTTGGTCAAGAGAAATTTTTCAAACCTGCATTTTCTTAACTGAAAATAAAACAAGCAAAGAATTAGATTTTGCAAGTATCATTGATGAGTTTGCTTGCATTAAAGCCCATTTTCTTTTTCCTCAGGCTTCAGCATGGCCCTGGACTGGGGTCTGGACAAAGACCCTGAAGAGAATGGAGGGGAAACATGAGACAGGGAGGGGGGCTAGGAGAGCAGGAGGGGTGCGTAATACTGTATTTATTGTTTTTATTAATTACCCAGATATCATGTGTTTAGAAAGCACAAACAAACAAACAAAGAAGAAAATACACTACCCATAATTAAGGTACCTGGAGATAGCCACTGTCACTCTTTTGGTATAATATATTCTATTTTTGTCTGTGTGTGTATAATTCACATGTACATGTATTTCATCAATTCTAAGGTGCATATTTTTTTCACTTTTTAACATTTCTGAAGTCGGAGTGTATCTTAAAATTGTTGGTACCATAGTTTAATTAGCAGTGTTTTTCCTGTACTGGTATATAAAATAATGATTTATCTTATAAGGTATGTTAAATGACTATATATAATCATGAAATTATATGCATACATATATATGAAATTCCTTCACTCTCTTCCTCCCTTCCCCATATGTATGTAATTACTATATATATGTGACAAAACTGGAATCATACTGAATATACTGTTTTATGACCTGATTATTTTTTTGCTTACTATATTATATATTTTTCAGGGTGATGAAATAATCTCACATAAGGTCATGAATCACTGCGTAGTGGTTTGTTATGTAGATGAACCATATATATATACATATATATATGTATATATAATCAACTACTCTTTATGGGACATTTAGGTTGTTTGCCTTTTTGTTTTTCTACTATATGTGGCTGACTGTGCCACTGGAGGTTAAGTCCACATACAGTTTTTCTTTCCCCCTCTGTCCCACCTCAAGTGAGAGACCAGAAGGTCACTTTGATTGGCATTTGTGAGATAAATCACCTTGGGTTCTTGAAGTAGGGTGTGTGTGTGTTAATTTCTTTGGGAAGCACTGAGGGGACCACTAATGGTAGTCAAATAGTCTACAGGAAAGCGAGATGTGTATCCATCCTTCTGTGTTAGGAGGACACAAAGGGAGAAATGCTAACTAACTCCTTGGAGGTGAACAGGAAAGGAAATACAGTTTGGTGGGCCAGGAGTCCCCCCCCCTCCCTGGGAGGTGGCTGTGCTGGTTAATTTTATGTGTCAGCTTAACTAGGCTGTGGTGCCCCGTGGTTTGGTCAAACACTAGTCTAGAGGCTGCTGCAAAGGTATTTGTCCATGTCATTAACGTGTACAGTCAAGTGACTTTAAAGCAGATTACCCTCCACGGTGTGAGTGGGCTTCATCTAGGCAGCTGCAGGCCCTAAGGACAGAGCCTGAGGTTGGGGGTTAGGGGGGATGTGGGGCAGGGGGAGGAGAGAGAATCCATTTTGCCTCAAGACTGCAACCTAGACACTGTGGAGTTTCCAGCCTGCTGGCCTGCCCCACAAATTTCAGACGTGCCAGTGCCCAAAGTCATGTGAGTCAATTCTTAAAAATTCTGTCTGCGTGTACTTCGTTTTGTTTCTCTAGAGAACCATGACTAAGTCGGTGACTATGCATGACATGGAACTGTGGACACTGGGTGAGGACTCTTAGCAGAGATTCCCCTTGAAAATACAGCTTGTGGCGAGCTGCAGAGAAGAATGCTGGCGTCTTTGTCCTTCATGAAACCCGGTGCAACACAGACGGCCCACAGGGAACAACGTCCCTTGTCTGGGAAGCACTAGAAGGGGGGCACTATGAGTTTCTCTGTTTTTCCTTCTCTTTTGCTCTTTTTTTATCTTCACCGAAGACATGCTTATTGATTTAGAGAGAAGGGAAGGGAGGGAGAGAGTGAAGGAGAGAAGCATCAACGTGAGAAACACCGGTCTGTTGCCTCTCACTCGTGCCCCAACCAGGGACTGAACCCACAACCCAGGTACGTGCCCTGACCAGGAGTCAACCCATGATCTTTCTGGTTTATGAAACGACGTTCTAACCGGCTGAGCCACACTGGACAGGACAAGTGTCCCTATTTTTCACAAGTGAGAAGTATGAGCACGAGAGGTCCCTGTGACCCCAGGGTCTAAACTCTTTGTCACTGCTTTCTGCAAGTCCCTCAGTTTACTGAAGTTTTCTCTTCTCCTCTTTGGAGAAGTTTCCTGGTGCTCTCCCTCCCAGACCTGCCGTTCTTGTTGAAATCATGTCTCAGTATTTTATATTTGGTTGCCATTGAAATATTATCTCTTCCAGAAGACTCTTGGTCCATTTAAAAAAATATAACTGAAGTCTCTCCGTATATCATACAATGAATAATTTTTCCTCTCTGGGGAAATGTGTGGGATTCTTGTGACTATGGATTCTTCTGTTTAAATAATACAAGATCTTCTCCTTAAAAGCACTCAAGTTGTCCGGGATCTGTGTGTACCTTTTGCAGAAAAGAACTTTAATAATTTTGAAGAGTGGAAACATAAATGTTGCAAGGTTTTGTTTTGAGAACTCTTTCTGCCACAAATTATGATATCTTATTGCTTAATAGGTCTCTTAAAACAGTAAAAGGGGTATGCACATTGAACCTTCTGAAACAGAGGTAACTGGATCTCGACCTAACAATTATTTTGCTCAAAGGGAAGTAATAAAAGGAGTAATAAAGTATCTTCCAGAACAAACTACTTACTACCTAACTAACAGCAAAACTGAGACAGGATCGTAAGAAGCCTGGAAAATTCCTTGATAAGTGGGACAGGGAAACTGAGGCAGATAGCTGAGCGCAACGGCTGAGCAATTTACAGTCAGGAGCAGATGTTCACTAGGGTGGAAGGACCCCAGTGTCTGGGCGGGGGTGGGGGGGGAACTGGGAAAACAAGAACCATACCCCCAGGGTAACCTTTTTCCCTGGCCTTTCCTCCCTGGAGATAACATCTAGGTCTCAGTTGTATTTCAGCTCCAGGCCCAGAAAAGTAGCAAAACCAGGTGGGCCGCACCCGAACCAACTGAAATAACTAAAGGGCCCCTCTCACTGACCAATCAGAGGAGACCCTGACCCTGACAGGGTGTGCCTGGAGAACTGATGAATATTTTACCGAAACCCTCTCCTGAGACCTCCCCTAAGATTCCTGCCTTGGAGAAAGAGAAAAAAGCCTCAAGATAAAGGACCCAGTGTGTGTTTTCCCTCTGGGGAGTGGCCTGCACCATTCCCTTCTCCCCCCACCCCCCCGCCCCCCCCCCCGCACTTCTTTCCCCACAGGCACGTCCTAAATTCTAAGGCAGCGGGCAGCTTGTCCCAGCTTCACCCCCTGAACCTGTCCCAAAGGCCCCTTTCCTCTGACTTCCCTGTGAGCTAAGGCAGCCCCACCTAGGCTCTCAAGTTGCTTCTTTTATGCTAAGCCCTTCCTTGTTTCACTGCCCCAGCTCTAATAAATGCATCCTCATAGTCACCCGGACTCGTGTTGTGAAAGCTTTCCTACATGAGGGCAAGAACCCACACACTACAGCTGGCCCTAGGCAGACCAGCTCAGGGCCAGGCCCCTGCCTAGTAACATAATCTCTTATTTATCCCTAGAAAATAGGAAAGGAAATATCAACCTTCTTAGACATTTGAAAAAAAAAACAATGAATTCCATTTAGAAGGGTTGAAATCTGTCTGATAGCATCTGAGTATTGTTTAACATTGTTTTGGAGAGGCACCTGCCTACACAGTCGATTAATATTTGACAAAAAAGGCGAGAACATAGAGGGGGATAAATACAAACTAACAAACAAAACAGGAACAGACTCACAGATACAGAGAACAAACCGAGGGTTGCCAGAGAAGAGGGGGTGGGCAGGCTGCTGAGAAAGGCGGAGGGACTGAGAGGTACAGACTGGTGGTTACAGAGTAGCCGTGGGGACGGAAGTGCAGACCAGGAAGCAGAGTCGTGATATCGTGATAACTTTGCACGGAGCCAGGTGGGGGCTGGAAGTATCAGGGGAACACTTTGTGAAGTATATGACTGTCCAAACCACTATGCCATACACCTGAAACCAATACAAAATAATACTGAATGTAAACCGTAATTGAAAAAATAAAAAAAATATATAAAAGCAAGTAAAAGAGAGGCGATAGGAGAACTCAACAGCTGTGCTGATGGCTGGATGCCTAATGTCCTCGTGATGTCCTGAAATTTCTGCCTTACAACTTATTAATTTCCACAGAATCTTATTTATTTATTTCCAATAGGTTACGTGTGCATATAGTGCAAAAATTAAAGTTCGAAAGTCTAGGGGATGGTAAGTCTTCCTTCTACTCCCATCCCCGGTCATCTGGTTTTCCTCTGCAGAGGCAGCCATGCTGCCGCCCAGAGGCATCGTGCTGACTTCAGTAAGAACCTTGAATAGTAACTTTTTCAATGATATTGTCTGAAATGGTCACAGTTATTTTAAAAGCAGTCAACTTAGCTCTCTTTGTGGCTCTAATAGCTTTCCAGTGGATTCTCTTGGGTTTTCTGGGTAGACATGCACATCAACAGCATACGGACTGGGCAAAATGAAGACAGTTGTGGAGTGAGAACTAAGTTGAATTCTGGCTCTTCCGGTTACCTGCTGTCTAACTTGAAATCCAGCCTTTAGAAAATGCTGACACACTCTCCAAAGGCAGCATGTAGGTACAGAGCATTCCTTCCCTCCAGTCCTTTCCTCGAGAGTGGGCAGAGGCTTCTGCCCCTCTCTACTCCTTTGGATTTGTTCCAGCTGGAGCTGTGGATTAACCCAGAGGGTTTTGATCTCAGGGATTTCTAACCCAGAGGTTAGGAGGAGGGACTGAAAAGGAAGTCCTAAACAAAAATAACTTTATCTTTCTTAATGAATGGAATGTGGGTAATGTTTGTTAAGAACAGATTAAAACAGGTTTTATTGTTTGAAATAGGGGATTTACAGAAACTCTTTGAAAAGCTACTGATTATCAGTGAGGCCCTGTGACCCTCACCCCCACCACCATGGGAGAGGCTGACAGCCAGCCACAGTGCAGATGCCTGCAGGTTTTCCTAGGGCTGGGGCCCGCTGCGGGGGCGAGTCGGTGGGACTTGGTGAGGAGTGGTATTAAGAAAAACCTACGGTTAGTGAGGTAGAAAATCACATTTTTACTTGTCCGTGGAATTTTATGAATTTGAAGGGATGGCCCAGAACATTTGGTCTCTATAACCATTCCATGAACAAGGTGACCGGGGATGTGGAGAATCTAGTTTGTCTACATGGCACTTTTTTCCAGCAGGACCTTAGAAGGAGCGTGAAAGC